TTTGGTAGAGAAGATCGGACAGATTTCGCCAAGGCAAGCTGGGCAGTCGCCTATTGCTCCTATTCCAGATAACCCACTGTACCCTGTCTGAAAGGAAGTAACGCTAGAGTAGACTCGCGAAAAGTGTATAAGACACTTTTAAGATCAACTAAACAGCTAAGCCCAAGGGAAGTCGTTCGGGGAGGCCCTCCCTAGTTCCACAAGGGTGAGAAGAGAAAAGAACACGATAACGAAGCGTTGAATCATGTAGAAAACGTAGGGTAAATGCGAAGCAATTTAGTAAGAATATGCAGTAAGCTAAGCGAAGAGGTAAGCAAGAGACATGTTAGACTATACTACAACTACTAAACGTGTTAGAACTACTGCTACACTAATACTACATAGCGAACATAGCAAACTTTGTAGAGGTTTTACAAAATGTCACAATAAACGTTTGAAATATCTAAAGATCTGTTTTCACTTTAAAAAAATGCCTACTTATAAGTTATTTGAATTTTCGAAATGCTAAAAGAAATTGTCTTCGTATCTATTTCAAAATTATCCTCAAAATTACCTGTTTAAACAAAGATGATTAAAAAAGCTCACCGCAACTGAATAATGCATACTTCTACGTTATCTGAATTTTGAAAGTTTTAAACAAAGTTTTTTATCTATTTCAAAATTATTCTCAGACCTCAATTTAGACTATGATTAAATATATTTCCGATAGTCAAACATACCAATCTTTATAAAGGTTTTACAAAATGCCACAATAAACCTTATAAAATTTAAAAGTCAGTTTTCACTTACAAAAAATGCTTACTTTTACGTTATTCGAATTTTCGAAATGCTAAAAGGAATTGGCTTCGTATCTATTTCAAAATTATCCTTAAATTTACCTATTTAAACTAAGATTAAAAATGCTTACCATCATCAAACAAAGCAAATCTTTTAAAGGGCTGTACAAAAGTCAGTATTCAGGATTAAATAATGCAAAATTTACGTTATTTTTTTAAAATTCTAGAGAATTTATAGCTCTATCTTTATTGAAACTGCACCCAAATACTGAAACGTTTGCTTGATTGATGGCAAACAAATACCAACTGGGAAAATTGCATCTTGCCTAATGAAACATTAAAATACATTTGTAACAACTAGCACACCTGACTTTTAGGCATAACCGTAGTATCGCAAAATACCAAATTCAAATTTCTTATTACTAAGAGTATTTCTCAATTGTCGGTAATTAGACGTTAATTTGGAAAATTGTAACTTGTTTAATTAAACTCCGACTTAAAATCCATTTTCATCGTGAATAATGTAACTTTTACAAAACGCCAAAATAAGATTTCTATTTTAAAACCAGAGGTAAAATCTTGAATTGTTCTTAATTAGTGATAAACGTTTTAAAGGCGTTTTGGCAAGATGCAATTTTCTTATTTACACTCGGATTTCTTTTACATTACAAATACTGCCGAAAAAACGAATAGTTCAGTATTAATGACAAACATATTAAACATTCAACATTAAATTAATATCCTCAATGTATCAAACAAAATTTACAATATGTTACAGAAATTCCTGAAGTAACATTTTAATAAAAAATACGCCCATTCTATGCTATTGTAGTTTTCTTATTTGGAGTTGAATTTGACCAGCTAGCCCAAACTTTGAAGCATTCTTCCACATCATACGCCTGGTGAACTTGTTCTCCAGGGTTTCTTAGCTTCCGCATCCAAAAAGGGTTCAATTTTAAGATCATCCAGGTCTAAATAATAAGTAAATAGTTTTTATTTCAGTTACTTTACATAAACCAGATAGCTAGTAAAATAATAATAATAATAA